TTTCACTGAGCTGCTGGTGCTCAGGCTCTCCTCCCCACCCCTTCAAGCTGATGTGATTTTCAGGGCTTACAAGGACTAAGGAATGACAGAGGCAGGGAGAACTCAAGGGCTGCTGGAGCTCTGGAGGTCACACACCAGTCCCTGTACCTGGGAAATGAAGACAGACCCAAGAAGCTGAACGACCTGCCCCAAATCACTCAGGAATTAGGGACACGGCCAGACCTGGAGTATCTCTTCTCCACCATTGTCCAGCGATCTTTCTCTATCTTAAAAGTGCCATAAGTGTCTGGTGGCATCTCTGGTGACACCATACCCAGAGAGGCCTTAGGGTCCTCTTAGGGATCAATGAGTGTTTTAAAACCACACCAAGTCTGCAGACCTAACTAGGATGATATTTGCATGATTTCCTAGGCTTACCGGAGCGGGCTGAATGGTGACCTGATCGTGACCAAAAGGGACTCCATATCAAATCCCTGGAACCTGTGAATGCTAGCTTATTTGGGAGAAGGGTCTTTGTAGATGTGATTGAGCTAAGGATCTTGAGATGGGGAGATCGTCTTGGATTATCTGGGTGGTCCCGAATGCAATGAAAAGTGCCCTTACAGGAAAAAGGCAGAGGGAACTCTGACAGAGAAAAAGAGACAACACAGGGAAGGCAGCCACGTGAAGACAAAGCCAGAGATTGGCGGGAGGTTGCCACAAGCCAAGGAACACCCAGAGCCATCAGGAGCTGGGAGAGGCGAGGAAAGACCCTTCCCTAGAGCCTGAGAGACAGCATGACCCTACCCGCACCTTGCTTTCAGATGTCTAACCTCAAGAACTGAGAGAGAAGACATTTCTGTTTGCACTGAGAGAGAATACATTGTTGTTTTAAGCCACTGCCATTACAGCTGACACAGAAAACGAATACATTTGTAAAGGGATAAAATAAATTCATCTGTGGATAACAAATATTAAAAAACCACAAAAATCCAAGGTTCACACTATTTACAACAAATCCACCAGCATAATATTTCACCACCACCACCACGACCCAAGCATGAGAGGCCAAGGGCGGAGCGTGTGGCGACCGTCCAGCTCTGTGTTGGTAACCAAGCCAAACCAACTCACAGGCTGTCACACATCAGTGTGATAACCCTGCAGGACATTTTTCTAGCTCACACACCCATCTGAGGACTACGTCTGCTGGGTGGATTCTGAATCTGAGGCTGAACATGATGTAAACTACTCCCAGACGTCTCAACTCTGAAAGCCCCTCGTGGAAAGTCTCCAAGTCTTAAGCCTCCATGGAAACCTGAAGCCAATTTGCGAAGAGGCCTCTGCAGCCATAGTGAAAGATGAATGACTCAGGCCTTGAAGGAGAAAACAGAGTAAGCAGATGTTTCTTTCTAATGGCATGTTCTTGGATCTAGCTTTATTTTAGATTTTCTTTCCTGCAGCTGTTGAGCTAAATCTGAAGGCAATCAATACACACACACACACACAGCCCTTTTCCCTCCCCAACATGTTTGGGGGAACACAGCTCCACGTGTGGACTAAGAAGACTGCAAACATGACTGTCACAAATGTGGGGACCACGTTCAGTATGTTTTTGCCTCTTTTGTACAGCTGGACATCTGGGAAATCATTCTAATGTTCCATTGATTTTTTTTTATGAGGGCCAGGCTTGGTTGCTCATGTCTGTAATCTCAGCACTTTGGGAGGCTGAGGCGGGAGGATTTTCTGAGGCCAAGAGCTAGAGACCAGCCTGGGCAACAGAGTGAGATCCCCATCTTTACAAAAAAATAAAAAAAATTAGATGGGTGTGGTGGCATGCACCTGTAGTCCCAGCTACTCAGGAGGCTGTGGCAGGAGGATCACTTGAGCCCAGGAGTTCAAAGTTGCAGTGAGCTATGATTGTACCACTGCACTCTGGCCTGGCCAACAGAGCAAAACCAAGAAGAAGTGAGAAAGCGAGAAAGGAAGGAAGGGAGGAAAGATGGGAGGGAGAGAGGGAGGGAGAGAAGGAGAGAGAGAAGAAAAGAAAAGAAAAAAAAAGAAAAGGAAAGAATGAGAGAGAAAGAGGGAGAAAGTGGGAGGGAGGAAAAGAAGGAAGGAAGGAAGGAAGATGAAGAAAGAAAAAGAAGGAAGAAGAAGAAGAAAAAGAAAAAGGAGAAGGAAATTTGCCAGTTGCTCCCAACTCAGCAGGTTTATTTCAGTCTTCGACAGGAGATCAAACTCAGGAACCCCAAGGGAAACGTTGTTGGGCCCTATTCACGGCACTTGTGAGGAGAACTCTCTGCGGAGGGATGACGGATGGACTCGGGCCCGGTGGGGAGGCACCAGCAGCATGGCAGTCCGAGCGCGGTGATCCGACGGCTCAGACTCCAAGCTCCCTTCAGGTGGGTCCCGTCCATCCATCCTCTCCAACAGCCTTCCTAGGGATGTGCTTCTTTCTCCCTGAGCCAAGACACTAGTGTGAAGTGTCCTTGGGTCACTAATTAAAGCTTTATTGCAAAGGCTATGAGAGAACTCTTTCCACCCTTCCTGTGTGTGTGGAGGGTGGGGGCCCATTTCTCAGGCTCCACTCCAGCCAGTACCACCACCGTTTTGTGCCCAGAGTTCTGCAGTCGCCTCCTAGGTGGCCTCCCTGTCTCCACCCCAACTCCCTTCCCAGCCACTTAAAAAACCTCTGAGCTGAAATGCACGTACTATAAAACTAACCACTTTAAAGTGAGCAATTCAGTGGCACTTGGTACATTCATTCACAATGCTGTGCAAACACCTCCTCTAATTCCAAAATATCTTCTTCAGCCCAAAAGGAAATCCTGTATCTGTAAAGCAGTAAGTCCCTCCCCCCAGTCCTTGGCAACTACCAATCTGCTTTCTATCTATATGGATGTACTCATTCTAGATATTTTATATAAATGGCATCATACAATATGTGGCCTTTTGTGGCTGGTTTCTTTTACTTCGAGTGTTTTAAAGGCCATCCTGTGGTAGGCAGCCCTGTTTCCAGGCTGGATAATACTCCACTGGATGGATACACCACGAGTTGTTACGCATTCACCTGCTGATGGACACTGGGTCGTTTCTACGTTTTGGCTGATGTGAATAGCGCTGCTGAGAACATGTGTGTAATAGATGTGAGTACTCTCCTACGTTCTTCATACAACAACCTGATCGACTCATCCAACACTCCAGCTACAAATGGTTCAATGGCTTCCCAGCACTTTTAGGGTAAAACCCAAACTCCCGAATGTGACTCTTGGGACCCTGCCCACTTCTCCAGCATCATCTGTCACATCCGTGCTCCTGCCCAACTGACGTTTCTTGTGTGTGCTGTGCTTGTCCTCACCTCTGAGCCTCTGCAGGGGTTCTCTTCCTAGAACCCTCTTCCTCAGTGTGGGAAGTGCAAAAGTTCCTCTTTAAAGTTTCCTTTCTTGTTTAAAGAATAAATCATAAGTGTGCTAATAACTGTTTGTTAAGTCCTATCCTATGTTGCTGTTAGACATGCCATGCTTACAGGCACGTAGTACATTCTATGTTCTTGTATTTTAACCAAGGTATCTGAGCTGGACGTGGTCACAAGCATGTCCCAGCTCCCCACTGCTTTTACCTGTTTAGAAAAGTTTTAAGTTATTAGCCAATCGGGTTTTAGTTTAGATTGTGAGGTCTGGCTCCAGCCAATGGAGATCAGACATAGCAGTAACGACGACCCCAAATGCGTAAGGGATAAATGTCTGCTTTCCTTTGTTTGTTGTACTCTTGCGGCAAGATGGCTAGTGAGAGTACCCTTCCTGCAGTCCAGGGAATAAAAATTGCATTGCTAAAAGATCCTCTGTCTCGGTGCTAATTTTTCTTTGTGGCACCGAGCATCTATTTCCAACACTCAGGGTAAGAGGCAACTGCATTTGACCTAAACCACATCCTTCTCTCCCAAATGCAGTCAGCCACCCGGGTCCCAGCACAGAGCCAATGCGGGCCCCTCTGTGCTTCATGGAAAGGGGTTGCGGTGGGTTTTAGGAGGCTATGCTGGACCTTTGCTGTGAAACCCCATGGAAGAGACAGCACAGTCCAGAAACAACATGGTCGGGGGGGCAGGCTCAGATGTGTATCTGTATCTCTGAAACATGCCCTGCTGGAAAGTTGGAACATGACTCCATGGATTCAGCAGTCTAGCGCCTGACTAAGCAAGGTGACAAGCTGCAGAGCCTGTTGCCAACCCGCAGAGCCTGTTGCCAACCCCTAGTCATACGGCTTCCTGAGCCACCTCTACTGGGACACGCTCTCCACCCTGACAGGTGGACCATGGATGAGGCAGTCTTACTTTTTCCTTGGACCTGGCTGACACGCCACAGACCTGGGAGAAGTAGGGTAGCGACTCCTTCTGAACTCTGGCCCCAGAATTCTGTGTCTTGCCCCAGAAAAACTGGCTCAGCCCAGAGGCAGACGCCTGTGGGGCAGCTGTGGAGAAAGCAGAGAGAAACCTCCCCGGCTGGAGGCGGTTGTACCTGAACTTGACAGGCTTTAGCTCAGCCCTGGCCACTGGATACGCTGGGTCACACAGGATGTGGTTTTTGAAGGATGGAAAGCCAACACCTCTACCTTTCCCCCACCCTTCCTTTCTGCTCCCCGAGTCTGCACACTCCTGGAGATGCACACATACACATATGCACACACACAGATGTAAACACACACACACACACACACACACACGACTTCACTCCCTCTTTCCTAACCTCTAAAAGCAAAAATGGTCTCATATAGCCTACATAATTCCCACCAGAACCTTTCTCATTCTTTTTTCCTCTGCAAATTCTCCATCATTCTAATTTTCACATGAGCCTTTGAGGAGAGCACAGCACCTTAATTATCTCAGACGTTCACCTGCGACTACTTTCTTTCCCCACAGGTGAAAAAAAGATGGAGGAGGTGGAAAAGGGGCCCCCCTGTTGGGTGTTTCTGAGGGCTGCTGAGGAAGGTGGCGGTGGCTGTGAGGGAGCTGGTCTGCCACTTACCTCCAGGACTTTCCCTGTGATAAACTGGTGACACGCCTCACATTTCACCCCAAAGAGTCCCTGGTAGTCCTTTTCACAGTACGGGGCACCGTCCCTGCAATACAAAAACATGTTTAGCTCCAAGGGGCTGGAGAAGACACCAAAACCACATTTCCCCAAGGCCATTCCACAGAAGGGCAGGACATATTTCTCCCCGGCCCCATGTTCACATGCCTGGCAATCCAGTCAGACCTGGTCAGACATGATCAAAACCACAAACGGAACGATCCAGAGAGAACTCTGCGGCTCTGGGGGCCACACAGAAGGAGTGGCCATGTTGTGAACGGCCATGTTGCCATTCCATGATCATCCTTGCCAATTTTTTACTGTCTCAGAGCTAACTAGCAGGAAGCTGGGCATCAGTTTTACTCCACAGGCACCCTGGGCATGGAGGAGCACTGAGCCCACATAAAAATAATTAATAAGCCAGAGAAAGAATAGCATTAATTAACCTGAAGAAGATACTGGCAAATCGATAGGCAATATCACACCTAAAGGCAAAACACTAGAGACAGTTTCATTAAAATCACAATAAAGGCAAAGCTAGAAAATATCATTAATGCATATAATACATATATTTATTAATATGACACATAGGCCGGGCATGGTAGGTCACGCCTGTAGTCCTAGCACTTTGAGAGGCTGAATTGGGCAGATTAGCTGAGGTCAAGAGTTCGCAACTAGCCTGGCCAACATGAGGAAACCCTGTTTCTACTAAAAAAAAAAAACAAAAACAAAAATTAGCTATGTGTGGTGGTGGGCACCTGTAATCCCAGCTACTCAGGAGGCTAAGGCAGAAGAATCACTTGAATCCGGGAGGTGGAGGTTGCAGTGAGCTGAGATCGCACCATTGCACTCCAGCCAGGTGACAGCACAAGAGCCTATCTCAAAAA